ACCAGAGAGTGATTGGAGGCTTGGGACACAGCCAGACTGACAGACAGGAGCCTAGAAAACTGTGTCCCTTGACCTCCTTTCTGCAGTCCCTTTCCTGCAGGACATGCATAGTCTGGCTCCCATTGCACTTGCCAGTCTTGTTACTCGTTGAATTAGTCCATTTTCACGCTGCTGATAAAGACATACCCAAGACTAGACAATTTACAAAAGAAAGAAGTTTAATGGACTCACAGTATCACTTGGCTGGGGAGGCCTCCCAAACATGGCAGAAAGTGAAAGGCATGTCTCACATGGCAGCAGACAAGAGAAGAGAACTTGTGCAGGGAAACTCCCCTTTATAAAATCATCAGATATTGTGAGACTTATTCACTACCATGAGAGCAGCATAGGAAACCCATCCCCATGATTCAGTTACCTCCCACCAGGCCACTCCCACCACATATAGGAATTGTGGGAGCTACAATTCAAAATGAGATTTGGGTGGGAACACAGCCAAACCATATCACTTATTCCTTTGAGGAAAATCCTTTGTCCCTTTCAAGACATCTCTCAGTAAATCTAATCAATAAACTTATGTAGATAGGGAGGAGGTGAGGAGGGGGCATGGAAGCTATTGTTTAATAGTCACAGAGTTTCACTTTTGCAAGATGAAGAAAGTTCTATGGAGGAATGCTGGTGATAAGAGCACACCATGTGAGTGTACTTAATACCACCCAACTGTACTCTTAAAAATGGTTAAGATGATCACCGGGAACGGTGGCTCACACCTGTAATCCCAGCACTTTGGGAGGCTGAGGCGGGCAGATCAGGAGGTGAGGAGATAGAGACCATCCTGGCTAACATAGTGAAACCCCATCTCTACTAAAAATACAAAAAAATTAGCCAGGCATAGTGGCACGCATTGTAGTCCCAGCTACTCAGGAGGCTGAGGCAGGAGAATAGCTTGAACCCAGGAGGCAGAGGTTGCAGTGAGCCAAGATCTCACCACTGCATTCCAGCCTGGGTGACAGAGTAAGACCCTGTCTCAAAAAAAAAAAAATGGTTAAGATGGTGAATTTTATGTTATGCGTATTTTGCCACAATTTTTTATATCAATGTGTAGGCAGACTAATAGAAAAAAAAAAGTGTCTGGATTGATGTTCTGGACATGAAGTCTTAGGATTGAAAGAGTTGTTGGAAAGCTTTGAGCAAACCCCTCTGCATGCTCAAGCCTTGGGTACAGGATTTCCAAGAAGTGGAACAGTCTCCAGGAGTGTGGAGCTCATCGCTCAAGGCAGGTTATCTTATCTTTGAATAATTTTGCCTGTTGACTATTGGGATAGTTCTTCAGATGAGCTGAAAATTTCCCCATAGCTTCCTCTGTTAAACCCAGTTTCACTTCTGAGGGTCACAAAAACAACCTAAATTTCCTCTTCCATGCAGTATGCATTCAATAAATATTTATTGAGCACATACCTAAGTACCACTATCTGATCTTCTAAATTTTCTCTTTTCCAGTTAAAAACTCCAAAATCTGACAACTATTTCATATATGACATGATTCAATGTCTCTTCACCTTCTGACTGCTCTTTTGAAATGATCAATATCCTCTTATCGTGGGGCATCTAGAAATGAAAAGAGGCCAGGTACAGTGGCTCATCCCTGTAATCCCAGCACTTTGGGAGACCAAGGTGGGAGGGTTGCTTGAGGCCAGGAGTTCAAGACCAGCCTGGTCAACATAGTGAGACACCATTTATTTTCTTTTTTTTTTTTTTGAGATGGAGTCTCGCCCTGTCACCCGGGCTAGAGTGCAGTGGCATAATCTTGGCTCACTGCAACCTCTGCCTTCTGGGTTCAAGTGATTCTTCTGCCTCAGCCTCCAGAGTAGCTGGGATTACAGGTGCCTGCCACCATGCCCAGCTAATATTTTGTATTTTTAGTAGAGACAGAGTTTCACTATGTTGGCCAGGCCAGCCTTGAACTCCTGACCTTGTGATCCACCCACCTCAGCCTCCCAAATTGCTGGGATTACAGGCATGACCCCCCATGCCCAGTCTCCAAAAAGCTTAAAAATTAGTTGGACATGGTGGTATGTGCCTCTAGTCCCAACCACCCTCCTGAGAGTCAGGATTGCTTGAGCCCAAAAGTTAGGGGTTCCAATGAGCCATGACCATACCATGGCACTACCGCCTGGGTGACAGAGCAAGACCCTGTTTTAAAAAATAAAATAAAATAAAATGTTTTCAGAAATAAAAATATTACAATAACCAATAGCTCCAAATGACTTCGTCAAAAATGGAGGATTCTAATGGGATTTCCAGGCCCACAGGAGGACAGTGCCATGGCAGGCTGGTGAGAAAGATACTTGAAGGCCATGCTGACATATCATAAGGAGGGCTAAATTTGTCTTTCAGGTGCAAGGCAAAAAATAGCATACATTCACCCTTAAGTCTTAAGGATAGATACAAGATTCAGTCTTAGCTCTAATTTATTCTGTCTCATCAGAACCACATAAACCATCACCCCACTTTCATTGGAGCTCAACGCTTTATTCCATGTAGTGCAGCACAGGACTGCATCTTGCTACTACAAAAATACATATAATGTATGATTTCCTCCTTCAACTCTGGAACCTAAACAAATGGAATGTGTTCCCCCAATTCCGTAAAACCATAATTCTGTTGAGTGGCCCTGGCACTCCTAAAGAATTTCTTTCTAAATATAGAGAGGTATTCCTCTGCAGAAAAAATATCCCAGCATCTTGGTTCTAATATATAATTAACTCCCCTCTAGATACTTTGCAGTTACATTTTATGGCTTATTTTGAGTGTTCATATTTTATCAGAAAATTATAATTTTCCTCTAAATAGGAGTTTTTACAAGGCTTTTGAATTCTGATGACTGGCTTCATGTTTCAGCTATAATTAAAACAGTGAAAAGAAATAGCATCACTATGTATCACACGTGGTTCTGAGACTGCTTGGTCACCCAACCCCCTGTCTCCCGGTGCCCTGCAACCTACAGGCAGGGGACACTCTGCCCAATGGTGGGGGCTCCATTTTTCACCGCTTAGTGGGACAACCGGTTTTAGAAAGAAACAGAATGGCCTGGGAAGAAGGGATGAGGAAACCGAAGTTCTCACCTCGGAGAAGTCTCCCAACCATGTTCCCCACCCATGTCCCTCTTTACCCTATTTTCCCTCCAGGAAAATATACTTCCTCCAAGAAATACACTTTCTCTCCAGGAAAATTCACTTTCCATCTAGTTGTTAGCTTATGAGTTTACTCTCTGCCTCCCCTCTAGACCGCCTACTCCATGAGGGTCAAAGCAAAGTCTTTTTCCTTCAACGTGGTATAGACAACTTCTTGAACCCTGTATGAGTTTACTAGGCTACTATACCAGCCAACCATAGACTGGGGGTTTAAACAATAGAAATTGATTTTCCCACAGTGCTGGAGACCGGAAGCCTGAAGTCAAAGTGTCAGCAGTGTTGGTTTCTCCTGAGGCCTCTCTTTGGCTTGTATATGGCTGTCTTCTGCCTATATCCTCACATGGTCTTCCTTCTATGTGTGTCTGTGTCCTAATCTCCTCTTCCAAAAAGTACACCAGTCATCTTGGATTAGGGCCCACCCTAATGACCTTATTTTACCTTAATTACCTCTTTTTTTGAGATGGATTCTCGCTCTGTCGTCCAGGCTGGAGTGCGGTGGCACAATCTCAGGTCACTGCAACCTCTGCCTCCCAGGTTTGAGCAATTCTTCCAGCCTAAGCCTCCCAAGTAGCTGGGATTACAGGTGCGCGACAGCACGCCTGGCTAATTTTTGTATTTTTAGTAGAGGGGTTTTGCCATGTTGGCCAGACTGGTCTCGAACTCCTGACCTTAGGTGATCTGCTTGCCTCAGCCTCCCAAAGTGCTAGGATTACAGGCGTGAGCCATCGCGCCCAGCCTTAATTATCTCTTTAAAGATCATATCTCCAAATCAGCCATCCCTCAGTATCTTGTGGGATTGGTTCCAGGACCCGCCCTTGCTCAGGACACCAGAATCTGTGGATGCTTAAGTTTCTGATATAAAATGGCATAGTATTTGCATATAACCTGTGCACATCCTTCTCTATGCTTTAAATCAGCTCTAGATTACTTATAATACCTAATACAATGCCTATGCATCACTTCATTTACATGGATTCAGTGTAGTTCTCTGTACAGGGGAACTTCAAGTTTTGCTTTTCAGAGCTTGGTGGAATTTTTTCTGCATATTTTTGATCCATGACTGGTTGAATCCACAGATGCAGATCGCCCAGATATAGAAGGTCGACTGCACAGTCACGTTCTGAGGTTCTTGGGGTCAGGATTTAAACCTATGAAGTTTGGGGTTGGGGAGCCCAATTCAGCCCATAACACAATGTTAGGCTGTCAACTGATGTTTGCTGACTGAGAAAAGAATGGATGACCGATAGAACATTATGGCAGGCATGCTCTTGGAAGCAGCTCTCCTGACACACGCTTCTGAAGGCCTCTCCTTTTTCCCCCTTCCCCCTCCCTCCACTCATACAGCAAGCGCCCAGACGAGTGAGTCTCTCAACTCCGGACACATCCTAACCAATTCAGTCACACAAAACCCTGTGCCACGAAGTTCAGACATGAAATTAATTCCCAGGAAAGGCTAGGCCATCTCCAGGAAGCCTGCCGTGTTTATCTGCAGAGAATCCCCGCTCAGTAGGAGGACTGCAGAACACACACACAGAAGTCATTGGATTGTCTTTACGACGGTGACCGCATCATAGTGGTGTGCAACTGAGCTTCCAGAGCTTGCCCGTTTGCTCCCTCTGGGCTCTGGCTATGGATTTTCCTATCATGGCCTGCAAGCCTTTCTATTCTTCCTCTGTATCCTTGCAAGAGAAACCTCCTAACTTGTTGGTCATTGATGTACTTTAACCAGGGTGTTTGTCATGGACCTGTATTGCCACCAAGGTGGCTTTGGCTCCAAGTCCTAACCCTCTGCTTGCTACTTCCCAACAGGCATCGGGTTTGGAGTTCAAGTCTGTAGCCGACAGTGTTCTGTTTTTACGTGACAAAAGGTGGGAAGAGGTCAGAGGTGCCCTGATGTCTGTTTTCAGTCCTGAAAAGCTGAACGAGGTAAGACATGAGGAATTCAAACTTTCTTCTCTTATGGAGCAGGTGTCTTCTCTCCAAATAGTGATGGAGAGCCAGTTCATGTTGCATCACTTGCCCAGGTGACACATCAAAAGGCCTTGCCCACTGCGACCTTCAGGCCTCTCTATTAAAGCACCGGACACTGTGCTGAGTGTCTTTCGTTTCTCCAGCCTCCCACATCCCCCGGTTGCCATAAATGAATTGCGAATCAACAAGTACACAGGGCATTCGTCTGTGTCCAGAAACAGAGCTGGAGGTGCTTTGGGGACCCCAGGAGAAAACTGTAACAGTGTCTGGCAGATTTTCATGTATAATGGATTACCTGGGGATCTGTCTGCAATGTAGACTTTGATTCAATAGGGCCAGGGTGGCCTGAGAATCTGCATTTACAACACCCTGCCAGATAATTTCATTGTTTCCAGACAATGAACCACACTTTACGTAGCAAGAAACTAGAGAACAGCATGAAACAAAGGTGGGCTACCAATCGAGTCTTAAATAGGGAGGTGATGGCAGAGAATGACTGAGGAGGAGTGGGCGATCATGGCAGACAGGAACACCCAAGTTCACCTCTAGGCCAAGTTCAAGGGAAGGGCAGGCTCCGCAAGATGCTGCCAGCTCTCTAAGGTCCTGGACACTCTCCTTTCCCTACTCAATGACTCGCTCTTCTCTGTCAGCTGTGCACCCAAAACCTGGTGTTTGTATGGCCTCCAGACCAGTTTCTCACAACCAGATCCTGACTGCTGTGTCTCGTATCTCAGCCTGACAGTCCCCTCCATTGCTGGTCTGCCTTTGGTGTTTGCTGGGAGAGAGAACTTGAGCCCTTCTGATGTGAAGTGATTAGGGGGCTTCTTCAGTTCCAGTCCAGGTACACAGACATCTCTAGAGCAAGGGAGCTTCCAAAGCTTGGCTGGGGTGCCCTGAGCTTCTGCCATTCACCCTGCCTGGATGTTCCAGAGTAGCCTGTCTTCAGTTCAATAAATGAAAGCTACTTTTAGCTTAAGCTCAAGATGCTCACCCATATGGTCCTGATTGAATTCCTATAAATCTTCCGAAGTCCCCCAGAAGAGGAGGGGGTTCCACACCTCATAGTATCCGATTAGACTCACTCAGAAACTAGTGATCCCTCCTGTTTCCAATGAGGTTTTGATTGGCATTTCCATGGGTGGCCGTTGGTGTTTGGGGGCAGAGCCTGTCTCTGTTTGCAGCTGCAGCTCATGCTCACACAGCTCCATCAGGTTCCAAGGGTTGCGTATTTAGACTAACACACTGCCTCTTCACCACATTCCTGCAAAATAAATACTATCAACCTTATTATTACAATCTCATTTTGCAGAGGAGGAAACTAGGCACAGAGAGATTAAGTAGCGGGCTCCAAGTCTCGTAGCTAGTAAGCAGCAGAGCCAAAATTAGAATCCAGCTCCAGTGCACTCTTCGCGTCTGTCTCACTGCTTGTTACCTACATGTGATTTTCCAGTGGTGCTCAGAGGCCACCTAGGACTGTCTGGAGGGTGCAGGAAAGGGAAGTGTAGCAAATGGGGCCTCGGTGGAAAGCTGGGGGTGGGTCAGAAGCAACACTTCTCTATTTTCTGCCTAAGTTTGGAACCAACTGAGGTATGGAAACAGGTTTTAGGCAAAGGAAATATAATTTTCTCTTTTATTACTGGTAAAGCAGTTTGAAAAATAGAGCCCACATCTGATCACATGGGCTTGCTATGCTAATACTTCACCAGAATGGGACCATTGCAGGAGGGTAGCAGATGCCATCGGGGCTAGCCCATGGCCCACACATGCTCAGTTCCTTCCTCCCAGACTGGCTCTGATACGGCCTAGACAGCAGGAGACGGACAGTGACTCAGATGCAGTCTTCAGCAACTGCGGCCCGCTGGGATCACCTGGGGCAGGCTTTGAAAACTGTTGCTGCCTGGGTCCCACACCTGGAAATTCTGATTCAGTTGGTTTGCTCTGGGATGCAGCCTGGGTTTGAGGACCTTTCTTCAGGCTCCCCAGGTGACTGTATGTAAAGCCAGTATTGGGAACCACCGCCAGTAGAAGTTCGCCACAAGGACACGCGAGGAGGGGGGCACCTGCCTCCGCTGCGGCAATGAGCTCTGCTCACATGGATCTGTGTTATCTATTGAGGTTTCACGGGAGAATGTGAAGGAAGGGGCTGCTTCCTAAAGTTAGAAACCACTGCTCTACACCATCCAGACAAGCTGCATGGAGTGGGCCCTTTATCACATCCAGCCACTAAAAAGTTGAGTTAGCCAAGAGAAGCCCAGGGGAAGAAAAGAAAAGTCGACGATCCTGTGGCCGGTGTCACTAGTGTGTATATGTCTTTATTCAAAAGCAATGGCTTCCCAGCACTGTAGACATAGAAAGAACCTCATGTGTGAAAAAGAAATTGGTCAAGAGTATCTGAGAAAAGAAGAAAAGAGAAAGAAAGAAAAGTAAGCAAGGAAAGGAAACTAAGGTTTAGCAGTCCTGGGCTATGGTTCTTTGATAGGGGATTTTATCATGGTCTAGCTTCCTTTAACCTCTTATAGGGGATACTCCAGAAAGTGATTCACTGTCATTTCCCAAGCAAATTCAGTGCTCTTGGGGTTCAGTCTTCTCCCTCTAGTCCAGAAATCAAATGCATAGTGCCTGAATTAATTGCAGAAAATAGAGTTCCTCAAGATATCCACAGCATTAAGATGCCGAGAGAAGCCAGACGTGGTGGCTCACGCCTGTAATCCCAGCACTTTGGGAGGCAGAGGTGGGAGGACCACCTGAGGTCAGCAGTTTGAGACTACCCTGACCATCGTGGTGAAACCCTGTCTTTACTAAAACTACAAAAAGTAGCTGGGAATGGTTGCACATACCTGTAACCCCAGCTACTCAGGAGGCAGAGGCAGGAGAATCACTTGAACCCAGGAGGCAGAGGTTGCAGTCAGCCAAGATCACACCATTGCACTCCAGCCCTCATCAAAAAAAAAAAAAAAAAAAAAAAAAACAGATGCCAAGAGGTAAGAGAGAGAGTTCATAGACCCCATTATTTACCATACACTATCAATAAACTTGAAATTCCATTGAAAGGTATTTTTTTCTACTCCATATAGTTCAATTTAGGTTCTTGGGTTTCCATTTGAAAGAATTCCATCCCAGAGGCAGGAGTAGTTAACTTTTTCCCCACCTCTGGGGATTTTAGACCTGGCAAGTTGAAATTTACTGGGAGGCCCCTAAGAAGAACCTTCAAGACGAAGATGGCAGTGCAGATGGAGCTCAGGTAGGAGGGGAGAGAAAGATGGTCTTCAAAACACAGACACGTGCAGCATATGTGTTAGATATGGTTCTGGGGAGAACCATACTTAAGGGAGGAGCAGAGGAGAAACCTATAAAGAAGACTCAGGAAGAGCAGCCTGAAATGGAAACCAGCAGAATGTGGAAGGGGAAAGCATTTCAAAGAGGAAGGAGCAGCCAGAGGTGTGAAATGCTGCTCACATGGAAAGAAACACAAGGACAAAAAAGTGCACAGCAAAGATAATATTTCTGAAATGTGAAACCAATGTGTGTCTGTTTCATGTTCCATAGATCGTGTTCCCTGTCATTTTCCTTCACCCATGGAATCACTGGCACCCACTGCTCCTGATGGTGCCTCCAAGTAAGATAGTAGATGCCATCGGGAACAAGGAAGTAGTTGCTCAATTTTGAACTGTACGTTAGCAAGCTTTATTACGAGGGGAAAGAGTTTTCCAAATCCAAAAGCAGCTTCCCTTTGCATATGAAGAGCAGGGGGTTTGAAGCTCTAAGCCAGATGCAGGAAATGACAAGGGGGGCTGCCTCTAGGCTGTGGAAGATGGGTGGAGGGGACAAAATGAGGAGTGTCCTATCTTCGTCCCCAAAACCTCCTGGTTTCTGGATGCTTCCTCAACCTTTAATCTCCCAGCTGCCTTTGTTCGCTAGGTCACTGGTTCTCAAACCTTGTGGGACCAAGGGCTACATGAGAATCACCCAGGACCCTTGATAAAATTACGTAATTCCAGCCACCGCAAGATTTAGAGAATCAGAATTTCTAACGGTAACTGAGAATTCACGTCACGAGGTCCCTAGGGAGACTCCGCTGAGAGCCAGAGTGGAAAGCCTTGGTGCTGTGAGTGTTCCTGCTGGTCCCCTCCCCGACCGTCTCAGACTGACTGCATCTCCAGGCTCGAAGGACCTGGCCACAGAACCCCCGCCTCCTCCCTGCTTTCTTTTTCTCTGTGGAACTATCACCAGCTACATCTCATTTTGTTCACCTGTTTATTGTATGTCTCCTTCTGCTAGGTGGATGCTTCAGGAGGACAAAGTCTTTTTTCTTATGTTCTTTATTGTTAACTGCACACACTAGGTACATAATAGACATTCGGGAACAATTAATGAATGGATGGATGAAGAATCGAAGAACCAAGAAGCTTGCTACCTATTCTACCTAAGGATGCATGATGAAACTAAGCTAAAAAAAAATTAAACGAAAATAATTTTATCAAGAAAAAATTAAGTAAGAGGATATAGCAAGCTGGCTTTTCCTTTAGAGAGCCACAGATATATATACACATTCACAAAGTCACAGACACAAAGAGGAAAATGAGTCATAGAGACAAAAGATAGCTCAGAACTCTGAGCCACAGATAATCAGCTGTGGGTACCTGAGTCAGTTTTCCTGGAAATAGCTTTGAAATACCAGCATCTCTATTCCTTTCTGAATTTGTAAGTAGCCTTTAGACTTTCATTATCAAACATCAGAGTTTATTCTTGAAATAAAGGTTTGTTTTCCCTTGGAATTCCGAGGCTTTCTCCTTTAGAACCTTGGCAGCCTAAGTCCCTCTCTACCTGAGGCCTTAATTATGGTTAATATTTGAAAGCTCTGGATGGTGTGGTCTTCATTTATGTGGATATTAGGTTGTCTCAGTCAACAACGCATGAAAGTTGCTTTAAAATCAGCCTCATATCATGAAGCCATA